GTCTCAAGATGAAATAAGAAGGGCTGGGGAGGCACTCAGTGGCCGAGAGCCCCTGTGTTCAATCCCCAGTACAGAAGAAAAGCCATGGGACGAGCAGGGGTCCCAAAGGCCTCCCATGGCCACCTGATGTGCTCCAGCACGCGGGATGCCTCTGGTGGAGTCATCGCTCCCTCATTACTCGCGATGGCACAGGCTGGCCTATCATGACTTTCCAAAGACACGGCTTGTCCACACTCCTGGCTGGCTTTTCTCGCTGGCTGGGGTCGTGGAATGTTGGCTGGTTTGTTAGTTTCTTAGCACGTTCAGCTCAAGGTGATTTACTCCAAGCAGCCTTGAGGATAAGGCACTGGCAGGGGGGAACAGATCAGGGAGGAAGGACAGCGAAGGCGGAGGGTGCCACTGTCCAGACCCACACCAGAGCCAGCTGCGGCAGACTGCCACCAGCGCGGCATCTCCGACCTCCAAGCATCGAATCTTAAATGGTTCTAGGCTGCGTGATGGGCACAGGTGCAAAGTCAGGCACAAATACAACCGAAAAGGAGGGGGATTTACCCTGAAACCCCAGGATCCTGGGAGACGAAATCCTCAGAAAGGGAGGTTCATGCCTGGCCAGGGGACATCTCTCCAAAACAGTGAAATCAGAGATTCTGCGGGCTGGGAGCAGGACGCCCCAGAGGTGTTTCTTTCATCTTGCCTCTGAGTCTCCAGAGGCTGTCTCTGAGGACCTCAGTTTCATGCCTGTACGATGCCCCCTACACTGCAGTCCCCACTACTGGCGAACTCGTGATGGAAGGGGCCCCCTGAGGCCGAAGCCTCCTCCATGCTGGGCCGTCCTTCCATGTCTCCTTCCTGGCTGGTATCCAGGCAGAGGTCTGGCATGCCCTCTTGGCTCTACCAAGCAGGCCGATAATGTGTGAGTCATCAGAGAATGGGTCACCAGATCCCAGAGTCACAGTGGCCCCCATGGCTAGTCACAGAGCTCTAGTTCCCTTCATAAACGTCAACTCCATCTGTGTCTCCTCTCCCGGGAGCCCTGCCAGCTCAGTCCCAGCAACTCCTGTGTCTGCAGAACCTTCCAAGGGCCACCAGCACAGAGTGTCCTCAGCATCCTGTCTCCCCAACACCTGAAGGGACTGCAGATGCCAGGACACTGGGCGGGTGGGAGAGGGCCATGCCTGCTGTAGGGGACAGCATTGTCTGAGCCCTGGGCTGTGGCCAGGCAGGACATACAAAGGGTTCCCTGCGACTCCCCAGAGAACCTGGATCCAGGACCTGGGCCAGCTGACAAGGCTCTGAGGTCCCCATTCCCACCAACTCTTCCAGCATCGTCTGTCCCACTTAGAGAGGGGCCTGCTCACCTCTCTACTGCCCCTAAGGCCAGGCACCAGAAGGAGGGAATACAAACAAGCCCCTGTGCAGGCCTGAGAGGGGCATCACACAACTCCCCAACCAGGGATGGCTTCAGAATCTGGGCCACAGATGGTGACATGGGAGCCCAGACAGGCAGAGGAGCCAGGGGAGAGACCTCAGAGTGACAGCCTGCATCCCAGCAACCAGGAGAACCGTCATGACTTCAAGCACAGCCCTTGGCTCCAGAGTATCTGGCCAAGGACCTCCCGGGACCAGGACACAGCAGGGGGAGGGGCAGAGCCCTAGTGGAGGTCCTATCTGCATCTATGTCACCGGAGGAAACTTCTGCTTTCCCAGTGGCATGGAACCAGGCTCCACCCCGCTGTCCTGGTTCTGGAAGGGAGGCAGGGGGCCGGCACCCATGGAGCAAGCCACAGGTAAGCAAGTGTGAGCTAGACAGACCCCTGGAAGCTGTTGCCAAGTTCAAGCCTGGGGACACGGCGCTGGCCTCTGTGGTGGGAACTGAAGTCTGGAGAAGAGAGCTAATCCCTGTGACTCCAGTGGGGACAGGAGTTACTGTATTACCCACCAGCCATGACTTGCTCCAGATGCAGACACTGTGGCCTCTGGGGGACAAAAGTATTGTCACCTCTGGCTGGAGGCAAGTGACTGGCCCCCGTGAGGTGAGGGGTGTTGCACCAGCCCCTCCCAACCGGGGAGCTGGTCCGGAGGGCGATGCTGCAGCCTTAGAGGGAAGAAGTGACTCCCAGGGAGACAGCGGCGCTGTCCCCGCAGGCGGACGGCCCCAGGGACAGGCAGGCCTGGAGCCCGGGGCTGGCCCTGCGCGGGGGCGGGCCAACCCTTACCCGGTCTCGTGGATGGCGTTGGTGAGGTTGGCCCAGGCCACGGCCTCGGGGTGGCGACCGTCCACCAGGCGCAGCTGGCCCGACGCGGCGTCCAGAAGCACCGAGCGGCTGCGGGAGGCGGGTGGTGCCGGTCTGTGGCGCTTCCAGCGGTCCCCCGGGGCCGGGATCGCGCCCGCCAGGCCGCTTAGGAACAGCCCGACCAGCAAAGCCAGCACCAGGGCCAGCGCCAGGGCCCGCGTCAGCGCCCGGGCCAGGCGGCCGCCGGGGGACCCGTACATAGGGGCCACCATGACCGCGCGGAGCCCCGCGCCGCAGCCTGGATCACGTGACTGCGCTCCGCGGGGCGGGGCCTGGCCCTCGGTTTCCGGGAAGGGCGGATCCTAGGGGTTAGGGGCGGGGCCTGGGTTAGGGGCGGGGCCTGGGGTCAGGGTCTGGGGCTTGGGTTAGGGGCGGGGCCTTGTTGGGGCGGGGCCTGTGGTAAGGGGGCGGAGCAACCCTCAGCCCCCGCCCTCCCTACGCCTCCTTCCCCGTGAAAATGCGGCGTTGCACACTTCCGCCTCAGCGCTTTACTTTGCAAAGTTTCAAACCTCAAGAAAAGTTGCAAGGATAAGAAATAGTCTTATACCCGCCACCATTTGCTGGTATCTGGTCACATCGGATTAACCTCTCTATATAGTTTCCCTGAACTATTTGAGACGTCATTGAAGACACAGTGACCTATCAACCCTGCAGGCTGCAACATGCTTTTCCTAATAGCAAAGACATTGTCTTACATAATGACAATACCATTACAGTCGGTCCTCCAGGGAGTCAACCCAAGGATGGAAGATATGAAAAAAAAAGGGGGGGGGGGTGGCGCACTCCTGTCATCCCAGCCACTCAGGAGGCTGAGGCAGAAGGATTGCAAGTTCTGGGCCAGCCTCAACAACTTAAAGAAACCCCTGCCTCAAAATTAAAAATAAAAAGGGCTAGGGGTGCAGCTCAGTGGTAAGAGAGCCCCTGGGTTCAATCCCCAGTACCCCCCCTCCAAAAAAAAATTGTACTACAGATTACACATGTATAGAATTTTTTCTCTTGCTATTATTCTCCAAACAATACAATATAGCTATTTATATAGAATTTATATTGTATTAGGTACTATAAATTATATAGAGATAATTTAATATATGAGAAGATATATATTATATGTTAAAAAACAAATAGATTATAAACAAATTTGGGGCCATTTTGTATAAGGGATTTGAGCATTTACAGATTTCTGTATGGAAGAAGGGTGTCCTGGAACCAATCTACCTCTGATACTGAGGTACAACTGTAAACACGCAGGAAAATTACCATGTATTTAACACTATTATCTAATGTGGGATCTTTACTCCAATTTATCCATCTGTCCCCAAAATGCCATTTTTCCCCCTTTTTAAATCCAGGATCACACAATGCACAAGAATAAATCCTAATTGATCAGAATCTCAATGTAGAAAATGAAACCATACAGTTAGTTACTCTACAACTTATGTCTGGAAAAAGCTAACTATAAGCCAGGTGCCATGGCACATGACTGTAATCCCAGTGACTCTGGAAGTTTAGGTAGGAGGATCACAAGTTTGAGGCCAGCCTCAGCAACTTAGTGAGATCCTGTCTCAAAAATAATAACGGTGTGTGGGGGGTGGGATGGAGGCTGTGGTAAGAGTACCCCTGGGGTCAATATCCAGTACCACATACAAAAAAAAGCGCTAACTGTGACTCCAAAACCAAATGCAATAAAAGATTGATGCATTTGACTACATAATATTTTTAACTTTTGCATATTAAAAAAAAAACTTCATAAGCAAAGTTGAAAGAGAACTGGGAAAAAAAGGAAGACATTTTAGAGCATGTATCATGAAAAAGGGCTTGCATCCCTAATATACGAAGAAATCTGAATTTTCATGGGGAAAACTGGGACTCCAGCAGACAAAGTGATTTGTTGAAGTCACACAACGGGAAACCGAACAGCGATTTGAACTCAGTTCGCAAGCAGCGTGGAAGCTGCCCGTTGTGGCCACCAGGGGGCGCACTCTACTGAGTTCCCGACCCTCTTAGTCACTCAACATAAGTGCGCCGCCTCCCTCAGAAAGGTCCTGTGTAGCAGCTGAACCCTGCAGACTGCCCCACTCCAAAGCTCATTCCCTGAGAGTACTGAGCCAAGACGATGTCATCATTATGTGCTCAGTTTTCTCATCTCTAAAGAGGGGCCCAAAACAGGACCTAACTCACAGGACACAGGGAGAATTAAGAGCTTGCACAGTGATGCCCAGTGAATGTTCCTCATCAGTGTTGGTGCCTTTAAGAACACTGTATTTGTCTAAGGTCATTGCGCCCAAAATGTGGATGACATTTCTCCTTGGTGTGTTCACACGCCACTGTAGACTAAAGTCACCATCTGGGAGGAAGGGCTTTGGCATTTTTCAATTTCCAGATGGTGTGCGGCAGTGGTCAGGCGCAGCGAGCTAAGAATTCCTGCAGGCTTAGGGCTTTTTGAGGGGGTTTGGTCCGGGTTTGGGCTTGTTCTGTTCTGTTTTGCAGGACTGGGGCTGGAACCCAGGAGCGCGCTGCCACAGGGCTGTATCCTTGACCCTTTGGAATTTTTACTTTGAGACTAGGTCCTGCCAAATTGCTGTCACTGACTTCAAACTTTCGATCCTTCTGCCTCAACCCCACCCCCACCCCCACCCCAGTAGCTGGGATCACAGAAAAAGCCCAAGGAGTGAAGCAGCCCAGGACAAAGGGCACTTAAGGTGAGCATCGGCCAATGGTCAAGTCACTTTCTAGAAGGATTATTCTAACCGAGATGCCTCCTAGCAATGCCAGTAAAGAAACTCTCACAACTGGTGCAGTCTGCTGGAAAGGTCCGGAGCATCCGCCCTGGGGAGGTGTAAGTAGGTGTCCTGTGACTATTCGCCAGGAGCTGCCAGGATTGGTGCAAACTTGCCTCGGTTGAAGGTGAGGCTCAGGAACCCTTAAGGAGCCTTCAGAGTCTCTGGGACAGAGGCTAAAACTGAAAGTTCTGACTGTAGCCCCGTGCAGAGGCCCACACGTGTAATCTGAGCCACTCAGGAGGCTGAGGCAGGAGGATCACAAGTTGGAGACCATCCTGGGCAACTTAGCAAGACCCAGTCTCAAAATAAAATCTACAAAGGGTTAAGGATACAACCCAGTGGTAGAGAACTTGCCTAGCATGTGCGAGACCCTGGGTTCAATTCCCAGAACTACGAAAATAAAAAGTCTTATTTTCTTTCCTCTTTAAGTTCCCCTTCCTGCTTCTGCTTCTGCCATCCCCAGGTTCCTGCGTGATTTCTGGGGCAGGCGCCCACACCCTGGGCCTCTGAAGCAAGCATGCTGAGCGTGGAGAGACCCTGGCCTTACCTCTGAGGGAAGGAGGACGCCCGGCCTGGAGAGTGAGTGGAGGCTCAAGTGCCATCTCTCAGACTGGAGTGCAATCCCATGTAGGCCACTTCCCAAAGCGTGCCCTGTGGACAGGCGGCTGCATCTCCCTGAGGTCAGTTTCCCTTCTCAGTAAAATGAGGTCATTGTTGCCTCCCCCTGAAGGATTTTGATGGCATGGGTGTGCACAGAATAAATGCTACTCTGCAAAAAGTGTATTTTGATTGACGTGGCCTTTGTTCAGAGGACAAGGACAGGCTCGGTCCAGAAGTGATGTTGTAGGAAGCAGTCCACCCAATGGGATTCGAGGGTCCCTTTCCCACCTGCCAGCAAATACAGCTCCCCTCTGTGGCTCTTCTCCTTGCCTAAGCATTCACTATTGGGGACTTCCTTGGACTGAGGCAGGTGACAATCTGTGTTTTCCAAATGTGGTCACACCTCGTCTCACATTCTCTTCCTACCATGTGACTTTGTCCGACCTTGCACGGAGAGGTAGGGTCCATTTCCTCTCCTTGAATCTGGGTGGGCATGACTGTAGTGCAAGTGACATGATGGGAGCATGTCACTTCCACAACTGAGTCATAAAATCCATCAGAGCTTCTTTGTTGTTCTCTGAAACCTTTGTGCGGTCCCCTGTCGGCCAGTCTGCGCCCCCCCCCCCATCAGGCCACCAGGGACTAAGAGTCCCAGAAATCAAATCAGCTCCCACAGAGGGATCCTGCGGAAAAGCACAGGACTAGATGAAGGAGGACACATCCCCAGGCAGCCCCCGGCCATCTGCCCCAGCCCCAGCCACGGTGACCACACACACAGGAGGCATCTGAGCCAGAACCACTAAGCTGAGCCCTTCGCAAGTTCAGGAGCCTCAGGGACACAGATAACAAAATGTTGTCATGTCAGGTCCCTGTCTCTGGGGGTGGTATGTTACGCAGCCCGAGGTGACTTATACAAGCATAGAACCCTTGTCTCCAAGGAAAGGAAATCAGCATTGTCCTCGGGGACGCCAGTCAGTCCGATTCTTTAATTCTCAGTGGTACATTAATGAGAACGAGAACAAGCTTCCATTTATTGGACTCTTTCACCCACCAGGCACTGCGGTGTGGGCTTTGCTCTGCGTATAGAATTTCAAAGAGCCCTCCCCACAGCCCAGTGAGCGAGGGCCCCAAAGTCCTGCTTTGTTCTCCGCTTCCAGATGAGGAAACCCAGGCTCAGAGAGAGGACATGACTTGTTCCCAGTCAAGTGGCTGGCAAACGGCAAAGCTGGGGTCTGAAGCTGGGTCCGAGTGACTTCTCAGGCGGCTCCTACCAGGTACCACTGGCCCTTCCCTGCCTGGAAAGAGGCCCTGACTGTCCACCGTGCGCGGTGAACCAGGGGCTATCTTTCAGGCCTCGTCTGTCTCCTTGCCATGTCCCCAGGTTCCTCTCCTCCCTGGACCTCTCCAGGGGTCTCTCAAGAGACACTCATGCTCCCCCTTGCAGGCCCCCAATCCAGTCCAATCCTGGGAGACAGAGAGGTTGTGACCTGCCTAACCAGTTGACCTACCATGGTGACATTGAGGCCTTCCCCTGGCTGGGCGCCTGAATCCCAGGGTCAGAGCCCCTTAGGGGAGGAGGACTTTGGCTTCAAACTCAGCAATTCTGGAGCTACTTCCCCAGGCAGCAGGTGGCAGAGGGGGAGGGGGCCAGCTGACCCCAGAACAAGTTCAGCACTTGATACAGGCATCCATGTGCTTGCTGGCTGCCCAGACATGGGGACAGGTTGGACCTGGGCCCTGCTATGAGGATGGGGCACACAGGCACCTAATGGCCACACTGTAGTAATAATGAGATAAGAATGACAACAGTGTCTTCCATTGAGGGAAGACCCCAGGGGGTAGGTACCACTGTCCTCCCCATTTTACAGGGAAGGAAACTGAGCTCAGAGAGTCTGAGTAGTTCTAGAAGGTCACACGGAAGCCTAATGCTCTGTGATTCCAAACTCATGCTTGGGACCTCGTCACCCGCCGGGATGGGAATTAGAGGCGGGCACTAGAGGTAGGGAGCCCCACGGAGAGTGCGGATGGAGAAGAAAGCACAGTCCAGGGGGAAGCCTTGAAAAAGGGATGCTAGCAAGGGAAATAGGAGCTTGGTCAGGAACCTCACCTTGAGGCAGATGTTTGCAGATAGGTGACTTTTGAGTTGGGCCTGAGTAAGATGGGCTGGGCCAGGTGTGGTGGCTGAACACACCCTTGGAATTCCAGTGACTCAGAAAGTGGAGGCTGGAGGATGGGAAGGTAGGAGGCCAGCTTCAGCAGCTTAGTGAGCCCTATCTCAAAAGTAAATAATAATAACAATAATGGAAAAGTTTGTCAGGGGGAGGAGGACGGGGGTGGCATGGGGCAGCGGCTTGGAGGAGCCCAGATGTGTGGCTGTGTGTAAGGTCTGGGGGTGTTCAGGGAATGGCTAGCCTCTGGCCCAGGGTACAAAGGGGTGGGGGTTAAGAGGTCAGAGAGATGGGATGAACTCTGTCACTTTGGAGATGGGACAGCAGGAGTGGCCCTGCCCCCAACTGCCTCAGGTCCGGTGCCAGCCCCTGCAGAGCATAAACGGCATGCCAGCAGAGGGAAACAGGAGCTTCATCAGGAACCTCAAATCGGGGCGGATGTTTGCAGATAGGTGTGGCCTTCCCCACTCGGGATCGTCCCTAGTTCTTCCCATCGCCTTTCATTACCAGGATCCCGCCCTGGGAAGGGAGTCTCCCCGTTCACCCTCTAACTGCTCCCTCTCTGGCCTCCTGCTGCCTCCTGCTTCTGCTTTCGTGGTGAAAGCAGAACCAAAGGCTGGGGACAGAAGGGAAAGTGGACAGCAGGATCAAACTCGCTCTTGCCCCCCCCCCCACCTCCCGCAGCCTGTACCTTTAAGGGTGTGGGCGGGGCAATGTGGAAGGGCGGGGCGAGCTGGGGGGCGGGGCGAGCTGGGGGGCGGGGCGAGCTGCCCGGCTGACTCCGGGCGGGGCGCCCTGGCCAGCCGCGCGGGGCGGAAGGTCGGGCGCGCCCCCGAGGGACCGGGAGGCCGCGAGGCCCGACGCGGGGAGGCGCGGAGTGTGCAGATCCCAGGCCCGGCCCGAGGTAAGCGGCGCCGCCCGCCCGCTGCCAGCGGACCCGGCACCCCAACTTCGACTCCTCAGCGCCCGCCCCGAGTGGAACTGGGCAGCAGAGTCCCGAGGGCTCGCGCCCAGAAAGCGCAGCCCCCTCTCGTGTCCCCGTCCCTTCGCACCAGCACTGGACCCGGGGACCCGCCACGGGAGGGGCCCCATCAGTGCTGATTTGGGAAGTGAAAGGAAGTCGGCGGCCAGTAGAGACCTGCTGGTCCTCGTGCGCTGGGACACCAGGGGCATTGACCGCACGCTCCGCGGGCCAGCATGTGTGTCCATTTTACAGATGAGCCATTGGAGGCTCCGAGAGAAGTGACCTCCCCGAGGCTGCACGGACAGTCCGCGGCAGACACCCAACTGCCAGGCGGGTGTTTTTCCGTCCAGGTCGCTGCCAGGTGGAGAGGCTCCAACTCGCTTTGGAGTCCAGGAGGACAGCGCATCTGGTCAGCAGGTGAGGGAGCTCCGTGCCACAGGCGCCCCCTGCGCCCTCAGGTCCCCTTCTCTTCCTCTGGGCCTCCTTCTCCTCCTCCACCTCCTCCTCTTCCTCCTCCTCCCTCCACACTGAGCCACCAAGACATTGAGAAACATCTGTTCAAAGAATCACCAAGAAAAAGAGAAAAAGAAAAGATCGACATCGACCTTGTTTTTCCTGATGGCAAAAATAAACAGACTCACCCTGGCCATGTGGACCAAGTTCTCCCAGTTGAATTGCTTTGAAGGAAAAATGAAGCCCTTATCCACGGTTGTTAAGGGACAGGCAGATGCCAGCACCCAGCCCCCTGCCACTGCCAGGAGGCCGGTGGCTTTGAGCAATTGACTTCCCTCTGGGCCTCATTTCCTCACCAGAGGAGCAGATGACTTTGTGGCTGACCACCTTGCCTTGTGACCTTGGGTGGGCTGCAGAATTCCTCTGAGTCCCAACCTCTTAAAGCAGCAAGGGTGATGGCAACTGGATGAGGGAGAGGTGGCCCAGAGTGGGGACAGGACTGACTTCACCGCATCATGTCTCAGTTTGCTCTTTTGTGAAATGGGAATGAGAACAGGGTTTTGACTGAGTGCGGTATTCTGGTAAAGGGCTTAGCACTCTTGTTTTTGGTCCTGGGGATTGAAATCAGGGACACTTTATCAGCTCTTTTTCTTTTAATTTTAATGTTAATGTTTTTTTTTAGTTGTAGTTGGACACAGCACCTTTATTTTATTTATTTATTTTGGTGTGGTGCTGAAGATCGAACCCAGGGCCTCACACATGCGAAGCAAGCGCTCTGCCGCTGAGCCACGACCCCAGCCCCTTCTTTTTCATTTTAAGACAGGGTCTCACTAAGTATTTATTGATTTATAATAATATTTATTATTGCTGGGTAAGGCTCTGTCTGCAATCCTCCTGCCTCGGCCTCCCCAGTCGCTGGAGTAGTAGTTGTGTGCCACGCACCCTGTGCTCTTGGCTCTTTTATAAAACAGAATGACAAATTGCTTAGCAGGCTGAGGGACTGATGGATGGCCTCTCAGACTGGCAGCCACAGGCCAAGGACATCCAAGAAGATGTTTGCCTTGATTCTGAGGAATTTCTGGGTCCCCACCACTGTTACCTACCCCCGAGGCCCCGGAGGCATGGGTCCCTGGAACACCCTTCCAGCCCGGGTGTTCCCGTCTCAGCCCTGATATTCCGGGGCCAGGTGTCTGTGTGTCGGGGGATGGGGGCAGTTTTGGTGGAGACTCCCTGGGGGCTGAGGAAGGCCACAGTGTGACCTGCACGCCACATGGCCAGGGCCCTGACTCTGCTCACCGAGCTCCATCTGCACTGTGGTTGGGTAGGGGGAGGAGGGAGGGCAGCACCTTAGCTGGTCTGAAGCCACTCTTGCTGTGTCCTGGGATCTTCCGTAACACTGTCCCCTCTCTCACTCCGCCCCCTAGGCTGCTGGAGCCCCTGCCATTGGAGCTGACTTCCTACAGACAGGGAAGTGGAGCGAGGCTCAGGCGCTGTGGGGTCAATGGCCAGCAGATGGCTGGGTCTCCCGGGGCGCTGAGACGGCTCTGTGTGCTCCTGATGGCAGAGACAGTGTCTGGGGCCTGGGGCCCATCAACAGGGACCCACATCAGCCCCCCATTTCCAGCCCTGGCTGTGAACCAGACCCCCATGGCAGATGTGAGTATCCAGGCAGGAAGCTGGGGTCGGGCAGGGGTGCATTCATTCCATTAACAAACATTTATTATTGCTGGGCGTGGTGGCACATGCCTGTAACCCCAGCAGTGGGGGAGGCTGAGGCAGGAGGATCACAAGCTCAAAGCCAGCCTCAGCAAGGGCTGGGGAGATGTGTATAAATGAGCATCCACTATGTGCTGGGCACTGAATGGAGTCCTGGATATAACAAAGAAGAACAGACAGACATCCTGGCCTCCCTGTGCTGATGGTCTCCTAGGCAGGGACAGACAGGAGTAAGCTGGTGGCTTTCCGATGGTAACAAAGAGTAGATAAAGTGTTCAGCAAAGAGTAGATAAAGTGGTGCGGGGAGGGGTATGAGGTTTCCAGCGACTTCAGGTTGGGTCACAGAATGTTTCTGTGAGGAAGTGACCTTTGAGATGAGCCCTGAATGGAGAGGGAACATTTGGAGGGAGAGCGCTGGGGCAAGAGGACCAGCAGGTGCAAAGGCCCTGAGGTGGGAGTGAGCTTGGTGTGTTCCTGGAGCAGCTTGGAGGCCAGGATGGGCTCAGGGTGAGTCAGGGAAGACCGTCAAGAGGACCAGGAGGGAGTAGCGGCCAGTTATGAAAGGCCCTGTGGGTGGAGGCTGGGGGTGACTACTTTAAGGCAGTTGGTAGCCCCTGGAGGGTTTTAAACAGGGGGAGGTCAGAATCCAGTTTATTTGTTCAAGGGACCTCTGGTTGCTGTGGATAGAACGGGTTGAGAGGGGAGACGTTGGTTGGAGAGAGAGATGGGGGACGCTCTGGTCATCCAGGGGCACAGGGCAGGTGTGAGGGACAGGGACCAAGTGGAGGGACAGAAAGCAGGGCATCCTGCTGGGTCAGGTGGGCACAGTGGTGAGAGAGGTGGCGAGTAGTTCCAGGCTTCCGGCCGGATCAACCGAGGGCCTGGGGGTCCGTGGACTCAGACAGGGAGCCCCCGGAGGAGCCATAAGGGTCCTGGGGTTGGAGGCAAGAGAGCCCCTCCAGCGCCTACTGGGCCCAGCGATGCCTCCAGGGGCCCCATGTCGCCCCAGCCTGAGGTCGCCCCAGCCTGAGGTCTGCGGGAGGAGGGGCCACAGCAGATCCCAAGTAGGAATGAAGGCGGGGGCTGCTCACAGGGTCACAGGGTCTCCTCCACAGGGGTCAGGCGTCTCCTCCAGCAGGGGTCACTGTCGGCGCCCACACTTGGAGCCAGGGGACAGTTATGCCCGGTTCACAGACGGAGAGGTGGCTTGTGGTTGTGAAATCGCTGTCTCTTGGGGCAGGGAAACAGTGATCCCTGTGCAGACGTGGGCTGTCCCAGGGTCCCATGGAGCCTCAGGAGGGGTTGGGGGCCCAGGAAGGAGGGAGTGACCCACGGTTTACAGGAGCCCCACTGGCGGCCCTGGGGGCTGGGCGGTGGGGACAGAGGCGGGGATCAGGGACACCCTGGCACAGGCGCACTGGTGAGGTGTGGCAGTGGCCCTGGGACCGAGCCTGACTGGGGACTTGGGGGAGCAATAGGAACAGGATGTCCAGAGCCACCCGGGGCCTTAGTGCAGGCTGGCTGAGTGTGGCCTCAGCACCTGGGGACAGGTCTGTTGTGGGCCACCAGGGTCTCTGGGGAAGGGAGCACAGCTGCAATGAGGGTGTCGGTGGCCAGATGCTGGACACTTGGGCTGACCCTGGAGGTCCGAGGGGCCAGGACAGAAGATCAGTCTCCCCCTGGAGAAAGGGGGCGCAGCTGATGTCACTGAGTACCAACTGTGGGCCAGGAGAGTCTCTGGACATGGGTTTCAGGGGCCAGGAACATGACCTGGGGCAAACCCAGACCGCTGCTGGCTTTTGAACAAAAGAGAGCTCTCTCCATGACGCGGGGAATTACGTGATGTGCATACGAGGGTCCTAATTACATTTTCTTTGAGGGGGTACCCGGGATGGAACCCAGGGGCGCTCCACCACTGAGCCCCATCCCCAGCCCTGTTTGGTATTTTATTTAGAGACAAGGTCTCACTGAGTGGCTTAGGGCCTCACTTTTTGCCAAGGCTGGCTTTGAACTGGCGATCCTCCTGCCTCAGCCTCCCGAGCTGCTGGGATCACAGGTGTGCACCACCGCGCCTGGACTTAATTACGTTTCTGTTGGAACGCGGCCACACACGTCATTCACGTGAGCCCACGATTCTGTGCCAGCCCCCCTGTCCTGACTGCATTTGCCGGAGGAGGTGCCTTGACAGCTGGGGACATTCGGGAAAGACCCCTTATGAAATCCCAGGTGCTAACGAACTAAACAGAAAAGTCTTGAAGTGTCCCCTCAACCACCCGGTTGCTTAATTCTTTGGCTCTTGGTGGAGCCAGGGTAGATTCTGGCCACCTGTGACCCCACATTAGATCTTCAAGCAAAGGCAGAAGAGCATGTAAGGAAACATATGTGGCCCCTGTATAGAAACCAAAGCCCAGAGACGTCGAGGGGCTTCCCGAAGGTTACACAGCAAGCTGGGTGTCACTCAGGCCTCCCCGTGTGTCCTGCTGACCCTGTCGTCCACATGGCCCTGTTGGTTCAGGGTTGGGAGCTGAGGGCCCTGGGGACAAATCACACCTGTGGACTTCTCTGCTGGGTGGCTTCTGCTCTTTTCTTTTTGGCAGGATTTTGTTTTACGACTTGTAGGTCTTGGGCCTGGCATGTGCCGTTCACTGGCCACAACTCCAAGCAGTCTTCTGGTTTTAGATCACGGGCCCGGTCCCTGCCTTGTCCACCCTCACCCCTAGACGTGGTATCCCGTGGGGTCTCCTGAGGCAGAGACTCAGGAGGTCAGAGGAGGCTGGGAAGTCACCAGCCTGACCCAGAGCGCCACCAACTGAACACAGAGAGAGCTGGGTACGGTAGCGTGGACCCATTATCCCAGAGACTCAGGAGGCTGAGGCAGGAGGATCCCAAGTTGGAGGTCAGCCTTGGTGATTTAGCAAAACCCTATCTCAAAATAAAAAAAAATAAAATAAAAAGGGCTGGGAATGTAGCTCAGGGTAAAGCCGCCCTGGGTTCATCCCCAGGACCAGGAGGGGAAGAGAAAGGTACAAATCCAAAGCGTGGGGCTGAGGGTGAGGCTCACCGTGGGGGACCCGCTCAGCCTGAGGCCCCAGGTTCAAGTCGCAGCACATCCCCCACCAAAGACTCAGATGATAATGTTGCCCCTGATATTTACTGAGCACCTACTGGGTGCTGGTCTGGCCATGATTGGGTCACCTCTATTTTCCTTATCAGGGGGTTATTGTCCCCATGATTCAGAGGAGGGAACCGAGGTTCATTTCTTTGCCCAAGGAAGGACTGAATCCTGTCTAGAAGGACTCAAGTCAGAATTCCACCCCTGGGCCCGTCCTGAGGGGCTCAGTGTTCGCAGCTCAGGGCAGGGCGATCACTGCTGCTGGTGGGGACGTGGCTCAATGGAACAGGAGGTGACCCAGGCAGCACCTGCTTCACTGGGACCCCCACCCTGGGTCCTCCCTCTCTGGGCTGGGTGGGACCCTCTCCTGCCAGAAGCCCCCTGGGTGACCTCATTCCCTGGGAAGTCCCTGGGCCCCAGCAGAGCGGGGGCCTGGGTTAGGACAGGGGTGAAGCCCGTCCCCCCACTGGGCAGGAGGGCTGGCTTTGTGTCGGAGTGCGAGCTGCGGCCGTGGACCACTCACCCCGGCCTTTCTCCCTGTGCTGGGGGCGGACGGCCTCACCCCCGTTTTCTTGCTGGGAACAGTGGTTGGCCACCCAGAGATGCCCAGGCTGAGGTTGTGACCGTCACACCCCCACTCCAGCCTCCGGAGCAGACTTTTTCCATAAAGGACCAGAGGAGAAATATTTCTGGTTTTGTGGCCACATGACCTCGGCAGCCGCCCTCTGGGGGCAGCATGTGAATGAGGGATGTGGTGGTGCCCAGGCAACGCCGAGGGACGTGGACATTTGGACTTTGTTTAATTTCACATGTCATGAGGAAAAAAAAAAAAAAAGAAACACTTTGTTTTTTCTTTTCTTTCCGAGCACTGGGGATTGAACCCGGGGCGCTCTACCCATGAGCCACATCCTCACCACGTTTATTTTTTGAGACAGGGTCTTGCTAAGTTGCTGAGGCTGGCCTCGAACTTGCCATCCTCCTGCCTCAGCCTCCCAGGTCGCGGGATGGTGGCGTGCGTCCCCGCACCAGGCAGCTTGTCTAGTTCAGGCAGTAGCCGTGCTGACAGGGGCGGATGTCGTGGACAAACCTTTGGGACAAGTGGGAGGAGGAGCACGTGTAGGCTCCTAGGCGTATGGTGACATTTCTAAGGTCATCACCATGACATGGGAGCTCCTACAGGTCAATAGGAAGGGCCAGCGGCGCAGCTCAGCGGTGAGCACCTGCAGGAGTGTGCACGAGGCCCCGGGTCCCTCGCCAGCCCCAACTGAGCCCCAGCGCCCTGGGGAAAAGAAGAAATACGTGTGGCCATCGGCTCATGAAGGGAGTGCTGGGCTTCCCGGCCGCCGGGGGCTTGTAGTGACAGCCCTGTGACCGTGGCGGGGCCAGACTTCCCGTGGCCAGGACAGGGGCAGGTGGAGGTCTGCTGGTTCCCCTTTCTAGTGCGAGAGCTTGGGGAGGGGACTTTGGCAAGCTCTGTTTCAGTGACCGTCCCTCTGTCACACACCATCAGGGCCCCGCCTGTGTTTCGGTGGGCTCCCTTGGCCTCCAGAGGTCGGTGTCCTGCAGGACCGCTGGGCACGCTGGGCACGAGTGAGCTGGTGCGTGAACTCCCGCTCCCTGGCCCTGGCCCGAGCTCCTGCAGCCCAGGGCTGGTTCCACCCCACTTCCCCCACGTCCTCCATTCCTTCCTGAAACACCAGGCCTGAGTGTGCTCCTAGAGGGCGCCCAAGTGGGACAAGCTGTGACTCAGCACTGTCACTTCTAGAATTCTCTCCCTCAAAATATCCGCATGTGTGCCTGGAGAGTCATATGCTAGGAAGTTGGTGGTCGCTGATGTTGGAAAATGAATCACACCATGTGCCCGGCTGTAAGGAAACGGTGGCCATGCTTGTCTGTCGTCCATTGAGTGAAAACTGCCGCAGTTACTAAGGGCAGCAGTGGGCCGAGGACGGTGGTGGTTAAAGCCAGCAGCTCAGAGCTGGCGCGGTGGGGCACACTGTCATCCCAGTGACTCAGGAGGCTGGGGCAGGAGGATTGAAAGTTGGAGGCCAGCCTCAGCAACTTCATGAGATTCTGTCTCAATGAAAGAGGGGTGGGGGATGTGGCCCAGCGGTAGGGTGCTCGCCCAGCGTGTGCAAGGCCCTGGGTTCAACTCCCAGCTCTGGGGAAAATAGCGAAAACAGCTCCGGCTGCAATCCGCTCTGCCCCCGAGTGGACCTGGGACATGGCCTCAGTCTCCCCGTCTACATAATGGGCATCAGTATTCCTACCTTCTTCATAGGATTGTTGTGCAGATTAATTTAAATATGTTTTATTCGATTTGTGCTGTTTTCTCGCAGTGCTGGGGACTGCCCCTGAGGGTGCTCTACCCTGAGCCCCAGCCCCAGCCTCTTTTCATTTTGACACAGGGTCCCACTAAGTGGCCCAGGCTGGCCTTGAACTTGCCATCCTCCCGCCTCAGCTTCCCGAGGAGCTGGGTGAAAGACACTGTGCCTCCATGTTGAGATCACCAGTCTGTTGTGTCTTTTTGTATGTGAATATGGACATATCTGTTCCTTGGTGAAAGCAAATTACAGAAATGAGGCTTAGAGTGAACTCATCCCGCAGACAGGCTTGTAGGTCAGGTGTGCACACAGACGTCACAGAACCGGCAGGCGTGTGTCAGGATGTGCTCCAGACTGATCATGCAGGGGCCACTGGGGACAGGGGAGAGATTCTGGAGGACGGGATGAGAAGAGGGGTTCTGGGGTCTTGCACAGGCCGTGGTTCAACCCTGACACTGCAGAACAACAGCAAGAAACATTTTAAAACCGTCTCGTTTTGTTTCCTTTCGAAACAAACATGTTTGCCTGAATTATTTGCCTTAATTTCAGACACGAGTTCATCTTTCAAAATAAAAGTGTGCCGTTGGCTCTTGGAGGACCTGGGGGTCCTGGGGACAGGCCAGAGGAAGGTCACATCCTCCAGCTCAGAGGGCCCTGGTCCAGCGATCCTCTCCATCTCTGTCCCTGGTGTCCCCTGCCCCCTGCAGTGTCGCAATGTGTGTGGCCTGAATGCTTCTGACCGCTGCGACTTCGTCAGGGCCACCCCCGACTGCCGCAGTGGTGGGGGCTACCTGGACTACCTGGAGGGCATCTTCTGCCACTTCCCCCCCAGCCTGCTCCCTCTGGCTGTCACCCTCTACGTGAGTCTGGGCTGTTGGTGGGGGGACGGTGGCTCAGGAGGGCCTGGGCTCCACTGTCCCTCCCCCTCAGGTGTTCTGGCTGCTCTACCTGTTTCTGATTCTGGGAGTCACCGCAGCCAAGTTGTGAGTCTGACCCTGGGCCCGCCTGCAACTGAGTGGGGAAGTGACCCTCAGGGATGGCCCCTGAATCCTGGGGGCAGGGGATGGGGACCCAGGGCAGGGGGCAGGGGGCAGGGGGCAGGAGGACATGGGCAGGAGCAGGGGACAGGGGATGGGGTGGGGGGCAGAGGGTGGGGACGGGGTAGAGGGTTGGGACCTAGGGGACAGGGGCAGGGACCCTGGAGTGGGGCAGGGCCGGACAGGGCAGGGGGCAGGGGCCCTGGGGCAGGGCCGGGCCTGGTGGCAAGGTGGCCAGGTGGCGAGGTGCCCTGTCTGCTCCCCAGTTTCTGCCCCAACCTGTGGGCCATCTCCAGCGTCCTCAAGCTGTCCCACAACGTGGCAGTATCCTTGACTGCTGGGCCTCCCCTGGAGGGCGGGAAGGTGGGGAGGAGGCCTGGGGTGGCTCGCGGCAGAGAGGCCCTGGTGGACCCTTGACCCGTTCCCATGGTGTCACCTTCCTGGCCTTTGGGAATGGTGCCCCAGACATCTTCAGCGCCCTGGTGGCTTTCTCGGACCCGCGCACGGCTGGCCTGGCCATCGGCGCTCTGTTCGGTGAGTATGGCCCTGGGCGGGGGGCTGGCAGCGGGGCGTCCCTGGCTGAGCCTGGCCGCTGTCCTCCAGGCGCAGGTGTGCTGGTGACCACCGTGGTGGCCGGAGGCATCGCCATCCTGCACCCCTTCCTGGCCGCCTCCAGGCCCTTCCTCAGGGACATCGCCTTCTACATGGCCGCCGTGTTCCTGACCTTCACCGCGCTCTACCTCGGCAGGGTCACGCTGGCGTGGGCCCTGGGTGAGCAGGCTCAGGGGACAGGAGCCATCCCTGGGGTGGCCAGGAGCTCAGAGACGCGAGAGGTGGCCGGTGGGGTGGAGGGTCGACTTGATTCCAGGGACGGAGCCAACAGGGACTAAATGGCCCCAGTGACCAAAGGGGCAGGAGGGGCCGTCCAGAGCATCCACGGTCCCCACTCCTGACCAGGGGCACAGCCACATCCCGGCAGAAACACACCCTCCCGACGGCTCCAGGAGGGCACGTCAGGGGACCAGCAGGGACCTACAGCCCGGGAGCTGGCACCAGGCGCTCTGTGGCCGAAGGCAGGGCTGGGGCTGGACAGGGGTCACAGGCCCTCGAGATGTGGTCCCGGCAGGAAGGGAGCAGGGCCGACTCTCAGGCTCTGACCTGTGGCCACCTGGGCGGGACCCGGTGCCCCGGCCTGGGGTGGTGAGGCCCACAGGACGGAGGACGGGCTCCATCTGGAGCTGCCAGCCCTGGCTGGTGGCCCCTGTGGCCAGAACGACACTTGCTGATGTCCCCCTGAGCGCAGGTTACCTGGGCTTTTACGTGTTCTATGTGGTCACCGTGATTCTGTGCACCTGGATCTACCGATGGCAGCGGAGAAAGTCCCTGGTCTACTCCATGCCGGGGACACCAGGTAAGTCCCCAGGAGAGGACCAGGGGGACCGGGAGCGCCAGGCCCCTGAGGGCTATCTCATGTCCCTTGAGGCCCATCTCCTCGTGGTCACACCCCTGTCCCTCCGCCAGGCCCCTCCCTGCGCTGGCTCAGCCCCCCGCCTCGCCCGCTGGCCCCCCGTTCCCTGGCTTCCCGCCATGCCGTGGCCAGCGTCACTGCCACATGCCCCAAGGCCCCGCGCTGCCCTTGGAGCCTTCTTTACTTTTGATTTTGAGACAGGGTCTCGCTAAGTTGCTCAGGCTGGTCTTGAACTTGGGAGTCCCCAAGGCGCTGGGATGGCGGGCGGCGCCACCTCGCCCCACCCCCCTTTTACTAGGAAGGAGGCAGCCTGGGGGGTGTCAAGCCCCCGAGGCCAAGGAACTGGAGGAGCACAGACAGGAAGGACCCTCAAACCCAGACCCCCAAGGCTGCTCCCTTACCTCAGTGCCAGAAGGGACAGCTGGGGACCCACAGCCGTCTGCTGTCGGCCCTCGTGTGGCTGGTGGACGGTAGCTCCAGAGGGCAGGACGCTCCTGGCGCCGAGCAGGTGCTGGTAACTCCTCCTACGGGAAGTCTGCCGAGATTTTCCCTCCCTCTCCTCTCTGCCAACTGAGCTGTCAGAGCTTGTCCTGTCACGTGTCACCCCCGTGCTTTCCTACAGCCCTGTGGGCTGGGTGCCAGGGGATCTAGGCCTGGAGAGGGAGAATTAGGGCTGCAGCTCAAGGGGACCAGTTTCCTTCCAGGCCTGGAAGAGTCCAGAGCCTCCTAAGGAAAGTTCCGACTAGTTGGGACCATACAGGGTTCCAAACTCCGCACAGTACAGTACTGAAGTCAGTAAGTGGGACCCAGGTCGTCTTCGGATGTCCTTAGTAGGTCAACGCTAGTTCCGCGTACTCGCACTTTGTGAGCTGGGCGTCCTGGCTGGGGACGGTTTCCTGAGCCTGCCCGAGACGGCGGAGGCCGAGTGGAGCTCAGTGATAGGGCATCCCCTGGCACACGAGGCCCTGGCTCGGTCCCCAGCATCAAGAAGAAACAAATACAGGGGCCTGACTCATGCTCCCCTAAAATGGCCCTGGCCTGCCGGGTGTGGTGACTTACACCTGTCATCCCAGCGGCTCGGGAGGCTGAGGCAGGAGGCTCTCGAGTTCAAACCAAGCCTTAGCAAAAGTGAGGCGCTAAGCAACTCAGTGAGACCCTGTCTCTAAATAAAATACAGAATAGGGCTGGGGACGTGGCCCCGTGGTCGAGTGCCCCTGAGCTCAATCCCCGGTACTAACAACGTCAAAAAAGGCCCTGTCCTGGAGTGTCCCCCAAAGTGGTGCCCGTGGTCTGGGCTCTCAGCTCAGCCCCTGTGGACACCTCCTGCAGAGACGCAGTCTGATTCCGAGGAGGATCCTGTGTCTTCCAACACCAACAGCTACGACTACGGTGAGTCCCGCACCCTGGGCCCACCGGGTGGCCGAGGAGGGGCCCTCCAAGCGACCACACCCACGCTGCCTCCACACACAGGTGACGAGTTCCGGCCACTGTTCAACCAGGAGGAGAGCACGGCCCGCATCCTGGTCCACGCCCTGAACCCCCTGGACCTCAGGGCATGGAGAAGCAAGTCGGTGTCCTGGAGGGCCCTCAAGGTGCTCAAGGTGCGGCCCACTGAGCCCTGGCCAGTGCCTGACCTGGGCACTGCCCTCCATGAAGGACAGAGAGAGGGAGGAGGGGACCTTCCCGGTGAGGGGGCCAGGGCTGGGGCGAGGGAGGGGTCAAGGCCTGTTCACCTGCTGCTTCTGAGGCTTGGTGTCCCCGAGGTCTAGCTCCAAGCTGGGTCCCCAGGACATGTCCACCACTGCCACCTTCCTCATCTGGCCTCAGCCCCTGTGGGCTCCTGGAGGTAACCAAGAAACCTCCAACATGGACATGTTTTAGGCCTCCTCAGTCCTGGGGGCAAATGGTGAGCTGTTTGCTTCCCACGGTGGCTCTGGGTGCGTCGTGACCATGGGCCAATCACGATCCTCAGAGCCTCAGTTTCCCCCCGTGTAGTGGGGATGGTCCAGTGCCTTCCCCCTGGTGAGGCTGTAACAGCAAGTTGTTCCCACTGCAATGCTCAGTAACAAACGAGCCCAAGACTCTCATTCACTTGCAGTGACAAGGGTGACTATTGCCGAAGGTCTAGTGGTGCAGGGCGGCCCAGGGTCTCGTTCTGGGCCCAGTGGGCACCTACCGCGTGTTCTTTCCTTACTGGGAGAGGGCACAACACACGGTGCAGGAAAGGCCCTGCTCCAGCCACACTTGCCAACAGTGCATGTGTGAGGGCCGAGCGCAGGGCCTGGGGTAGGGCGGGCACCCCATGCTGGTGACTGACTAGACATGGCTAGAAACAGGGTGCTGTCCACCCCTCTGGGTGGCTGTCTACGGGTTCCTTAGCCTCTCGGGCCTGCTTCTGAATTATTTATAGTCCCTGTCGGGGTCCCATGGTAGGGTGAATAATGACCCCTGAGGACACCATGGTCCTGATCCCCAGAGCCCGTGGATGTGCCACCCGATGGGAGAGAGGGCTTTGGGGGTGTGGTCTGTGGTCTCGAGATGGGGAGCTTATCTGATATTCTGGGGGGTCCTGTGTAATCACAGGGTCCTCGTCAGGAGAGAGGGAGGCAGAAGGGTCACATCAGAGGAGGAGTCAGGAAGGTTGGGATGGCATGAGGCCAGGAGCCCAGGGAGGCAAGGGGTCCCTGGGAGCTGCAAAAGGGGACGGACAGTCCCCTGGAGCTTCCAGGAGGAACACGGTCCTGCTGACCCCTGGGCCTTGGGCCCTCTGCCTCAGAACGTGCGAGAATGCACTTGGCCGTCTTCACTTGCTCAGTGCTCAGTGATGGGAACTGTATGTGCCCAGCCCACGCTGTCCCGAGGGTGCTTCTGTGCTGGGTCCTGTTCAGGGGCTGCCGAGCTCGGTGTGTGGCCGGCCAGGACTCGGCCTCCCCACCCACACCCTCCCCCCTTGCCCGCTTGGCAGCTGCCCGTGGAGTTCCTGCTGCTCCTCACCGTGCCCGTCGTGGACCCAGACAAGGACGACCGGAACTGGAAGCGGCCCCTCAACTGCCTGCACCTGGTGGTCAGCCCCCTGGTCCTGGTCCTGACCCTGCAGTCGGGGGCCTGTGAGTGTCCCACCCCTGGGCTGCCCCACATCTTCTCCCCGGCCACAGCAGGCAGGCCCCGGGGCAGCAGAGTCCAGACCTGGAGCTGCCTCTGTGTGCCCAGGCCTTAGGGACCCCAGCTGGACGCTTGTCCAGGGACCTTCAGCTGGCCCAGGCCTGCCGGCTGCAGACTGCGGTCACGTCCACCCTGGCTTGGTGTCCCCTACGTTAGAAGGGGGGGAGAAGGGGGAGCCCAGGGTTCAGAGCCCCCAGCCTGTGTGAGGCCCAGGCGCTGTCCCCAGCCCGTAAAAATGTCCAGCTAATCAGAAAACAAGACCTGTGGAGATTCACACCAAACTTTAGATGTGGCCTTCTCAAGCTCTGGGCCCTGGAGGCCAGGCTGGCCAGAGCCAAGAAGGGACACCCCAGGGACACCTGCCGTCCAGACCAGCTGCCCAATGCCCTCCTCGCCTCGGGGTGGGGGCGCCTGGCTGGCTCAGCACTGTCCTTTGCTGATGTCATCTGCTGGTCCCCAGGGCATCAGCATCCCCCTGGCCCAGAATAGCCTCCTCATGTCTGTCCCATCCAGTGGAGGGGACATGGGTCTCATCAGACATCTTCCAACTCTTGCCGTTCAGATTTCTTCCTGTTGTCTAACTTTAGTGCCTCATGGTACTCTTTCCCCTCCATTGTCCAGGCTCCTCAGGAGGCTGGGAGGAGAGGACACAGCGTGACCCTGGGGCTCTCTGTCCATCGCTGCCTCCATCCCCGTGCGCTGGGCGCCCTGCCTGGCCTGGGAGCTTGCTTTCCCAGCCCTGTGGTTGGTCTGGTCTCGCAGGGCCAGGGGCCGAGCCAGACCTGGGGCAGCTGGGCAAGGCTCTGCCCCAGCAGGTCCCCAGCCCCTCCCTGGCTCCCTGAAGAGGGGGTCCAGAATCCTCCCCGCTCAGGCCAGCTTCTCGGCCGCCTCTCAGTCTGCTCCACTGGACTCCATGTCCCCAAGTCAGCTCTTGAGTCAGACAGAATCACTGGACAGGAAGCCCATCACCTGCACCAGCAGGATTGGTCTCATTTCCAGAAAATCCATGGTCCTGCGGAAACAGACGCAGTGGACCTAAGGCCCCTCCTCCCATCCTCCTGGGCCCGGCTCTGAGCCGCATGCACATGGGGATTGGCAGGTGATGGAAACGTCCCCGAGACAGGAGAGGATGGAGCAGGGACCCCTTGAGGTGCCATTCTGGGGCGTTCAGTGTCTTGCCCACACATCCCTGATCATCTGGTGGTGGCAGGTCCAGCCTGGCCCAGGCCCATTCCAAAGTGCTGCCCTTCACACACTGTGGTCACTCCCCTGGAGTCCTCAATGGCTCCCCAGTGCCTCTTAGAGGGATCCCGTCCCTGGCTCTCTGGAGGCCTCTGGGACTGGAAGGCAGCACCTCCCGGCCTCTCTGGGCCCTTCCCTCCCCAGCTCTTCCCTCTTCCTGGGCCTCAACCCGGCCCTGCTGCTCGTTGGGCTCCAGGGAGCTCTCCCTGGTCCCTGCCTGCGGCCACCCTCCAACATTCCTCTGGCACAGGCTCGGCAAGTGCTGGACAAAGGTCTCACCCAGGTGGCACGTGCCAGAGCCAGCACTAGCAGACACTGAACGCTGTCGGTCACCTGTCGGTCCCCTCTCGGTCACCTGTCCCGTACTGTGTTCAGGACTTTGTGAACTTAGCCCCCCTCAGTTCTTACGCCCACCAGATGTGAGAGACCAAGAGCCAGACCACAGAGAGGACCAGGTCTTAAGTGCGTGTCTGGGCGTTTGGACCTTTGGCTTTCTTTGAAGCCGGTACCACCTCCTGGTGGCGAAGGAAACTCGGGGGTATCCCCCTGCGGAAGGCCCCTTAGTGTCGGGTGCGAGGCTCTGGAACCTTCCCCTTGCTGATAGGAGAGGGCCGTGTGGGGCTGCCCGGGGGTCCGCTGCCCGCCCGGGAGCCACCTGGGAGCTCAGCCAGGCACTGGGCTGGTCGTGATGGCTGCGCGGAGGTGGGGGCGGGCACCGTGGGCACAGAGGGCACAAGCTTGGCCGGGGTTTTGCGTGACCCATGGAAGGCAGGGACCGGGCAGGCAGGGCTGGCCGGGGGAGTATCTACCGTCATCCCTGGGGCTGGGACTCCCGCCAGATCTCGGGGTCCCCCGTCACTCTGGGAGCCCCAGGAGCAGTGTGGGCAGGTCCTGCTGGGGCTGCAGCGCTGGTCTCCTCCGCAGATGGCGTCTACGAGATTGGCGGGCTCTTCCCCGTGTGGGCGGTGGTGGTGATCGCGGGAACCGCGGTGGCTTCCGTGACCTTCTTTGCCACCTCCAACGAGGTGCCCCCCAGGCTCCACTGGGTAAGACTGGGGCCCCAGCTGGGCGAGGGGCCCTCGGTGTCTGGGGCATGGGCCGGTGGTCACTTTCTCCTGTGACGGGGACCTGAGGGCTCCTGTCCGAGTCGGGTTATTTGGGGGATCCTCTGCTTTATGGAGGTGCAATTCCCAGGCCGCACAGTTCCTGCCCACCCCGCGGCAGTGTTGGTGTGTCCAATGGGGTGGGGTGGCCATCGTCCCCGTCCATCCAGGACGTCTTCACCCCAGGGAGAATTCAGCCCCACAGAGTCAGCACCGTCCCCTCCCGGCCTCTGGCACCTGCGGCCCCACTCTGGATGCTGTGACATGCGGATCTCACCCTGCAGCACGTGGCCTCGTGTGCTGGCTCTGTGCTGTCCTGGGCAGCTGGGGGGCTGCCTACCCCCCATGGTCAGCGCCTGTGTGAAGGGCTCTGTGTGGAAACCCACTCTCCTGTCCTCTGTGCACAGCCCTGGGGTGCCGTTGCTGGGGCAATGGCAGCTGTGTCTGCTTCCTGAGGACCCACCAGTCTGTTCCCAGAGCTGGTGAGGAAGCATGCTCCCTGTGGTGACACCGGGGATGGGGGTCTGTGTGGCAGCTCTTCCATTCCCTGCAGTCTCGCAGGCCAGGGACTTTCAGGCAGTGCATGTGGACTTCTTCTTCAAAAACCCCCTCAAAGTTCTCAGGCCGGGGACATAGCCCAGCAGCACGGCCCTTGCCTGGCTCGTGGGAGCCCGGCTCCGTCCCCAGCACCAGAAAGAAATCATTTAAAGGTTTTCATATGTTATATTTATTGACAAAATATGGTTTGCTTTGGGTTCTTTTTAGCAACTGGGGCTTGGACCCAGGGCCTCCTGCTTGCTGGGCCAGGTCCCATCCCCGGCCCTTTCCAAACTTTTGTTTTGAGATGGGGCCTCGCTAAGTGGCCCAAGTTGGCTTCGAGCTTCCGTCCTCCTGCCTCAGCCTCCCGAGCAGCTGGGGTCCCGGCGCCCACACCTGCTGCTGGCCGAGGACCGTGCTGTGTGACTGCACTTACACAAGTGTCATGACAGCAGATCCGTGGAGATGGGTGCCGAGCCCTGTGGTGGGGGTTGGGCGGGGTTGGCGGGAGGGGGCTGTTGGGGGTGATGCGTGGCATTTGATGACAGCTATGAGGAACCCTTTCCCCCAAAAATGACCACGCTGACCCTTGCCGAACACCTCCCTGCGCGGGCCCCGGTCACGTTCTCGGCTCCCTCTCTGCCTCTCGTCTCATCCCATGGATGCGAAGTGGAGGCTGTGTCCTGGTCACTGGCCGGGTCCCAGCAGGGTGCGTCTCCTCCACAGCTCTTCGCCTTCCTGGGCTTCCTGACCAGCGCCCTGTGGATCAACGCGGCTGCCACGGAGGTGGTGCACATCCTGCGCTCCCTGGGCGTGGTCTTCCGGCTGAGCAACACAGTCCTGGGGCTCACGCTGCTGGCCTGGGGCAACAGCATTGGAGGTGACTCCCCGGGCTGGGTTCTGGGCGAGCAGAGTCCCGTCCTCAGCCCCAGCCAGAGGTGCATGTGGGCAGCGGTCTGTCTTCAGCATGTGCACTGGGTGACATGGCCTGAACTGTCCCTGAGCCAGGAAACTACAGAGTCTCTGCCTCTTCCCCAATCTCTGACACCTGGGCACTGGGTAGCTTCTTTGAGTTCAGGCAAGATGCAATGCCCACTGCAGCCAACCATGCTTAATACAGCTACAGCAGCCAGGTACAGTTGGCCAGGTTACGCACTGCATCCGGTCATCCAGACAAGGGAGGGGGGACCTAAAATCTAGGCCTCCCTCCACTTGGCTCTCGGGGCAGCTTTTCCTGATCCACAGAGGCGCTGTGTGGCCGTCCCCTCCCGCAGCAGGTGGGACTCGGGTGAAATGTGGGTAGCAGCAGGTCATCCTGTAGCCAAGTCAGTCCTGCTGGGAGGGCGTGGGAAAAGTGGGAGACTCCTGTCCCCGGACACCGTGGCCGCGGTGTCTGGTGGTGAGGAGCTGGGAGCCACCTGCCACTCAAGGCCCCGCTTCCGCAGACGCCTTCTCAGACCTCACGCTGGCCCTCCAGGGCTACCCGCGGATGGCGTTCTCCGCCTGCTTCGGGGGCATCATCTTCAGTATCCTTCCGGGCTGTGCTGGCCAGCGCTGGGCGGGGTCCCAGGGCGCCGGGTCCTTGGGCTGCGGGGAGTCAGTGTTCCCCGGGCAGCGGTCTCCCCTGGCCCTTGGCCTCTGCGGTGGAGGGACAGGTGGGGACAGAGTGTGACGGGCGGCGAGCTCTGGTGAGACTGTGCCAAGCAGGCAGGGCCAGGTCTGCCCTGGGGCTGCTGTTCCCGGGCCCTGGTCCGCCTGGGCAGAGGGCAGCCGGGTGGCCCCGGGAAGAGGGCCTTTCTCCTGGCCACCTTTCTTTGGTGGCTGCTGGGGTCCAACCCAGGCCTGTGCACGAGGCCAGCCTCACCGCTGGCTGCCCCCAGCCCTAAGGGCTTTGAACCCGCCGTCCTGGAGATGGCCTTGACCCACGCCACGCACTATCCTGGGTTCCCGGGGACTGTGGGTGGCGGCTCCCTCTGCGGGGCTCACGGTGCCGAGCCCTCCTGACCCCTCGTTCCGTCATGAGGCCTGAGTGCGCAACGCGCTCAGCACACCCTCTTCCAGACACTAACCCTGGAGCCCGGCTCTTCCGTGGGGCCCCTGGACGTGGGCAGTAGGCACAGATGACAAAGCCAGGCTCCTTCTGGCCCTGGCACCCCAAGTCCCAGCAGGAGGGCGGGAGGGTCGTGGCCGCTGCCCCGTGGAGCTTCCTGAACTGGCTGCAGACATCCTGGTGGGCGTGGGGCTGGGCTGCCTGCTGCAGATAGCCTGGGGCCACGTCCCCGAGGTGAAGGTGAGCGGGGGGACTCGGGGGCTTGGGGGGCTCGGGGGGCAGAGCGTCCCTGGGTTCAAAAACAAATGAAGAAGAAGAAAAAAGGAAAGAGAGGGAGGGAGGGAGGGAGAGAGGGAGCGGGGAGAGAGGACCTGGGCGAGGACAGAGGAGCACCCCACAGGGCCAAGAGACCCTTCCCACCTCAGCGACTCTCATTTCCTGGGGTCGGGTCCCAGGAACTCTGAAGTGAGAATTATCTGCTGAGTTGAAACAAGCGCATTCCTTTTGCGTCGCCAAAGCAGCTAGGAGTCAGAGTGGGACTCAGGCGGCGCCCACCTACTGGCCCGCTGGGTCCAGGCCGTCCTGAAGTCTCTTGGCTGTGTGACTTTGAGTGAGGTGGGACATCTCTGTGCCTCAGCTTCCTACCTGTAAAATGGGGTAGATGGCCCCTCCAGGCCTCCCAAGTGGGGACAGGGCCAAGCTGATTGCGGGTCCCAGGGCTGCCCGCGGGGTGCTGGGAGGAGGAGAAGGCAGGCACCCACGGGTTTGGGAAGGTCAGAGATGCACAGTGGGTGGCAGGTTCTCAGGGGCCCTGTGGCCTCCTGACCCCTGGGGGGTGTCTGGGAATGTGCGGGGTGCTGGGCCCTGAACCAGGGACCTCTCCCCCCATGCTGAGCCAAGCTCCCGCCCTGGGCTGCACCCAGCCTGCGCTGCGTCTTCACCCAGCTGCCCATGCGGGTGATGTCAAGAGACTGTCCTGACAGGCGGGAGACAGGGCCAGGCTGGAACAGGAAGGACTGGGTGACGCAGGTGGCTCCTGTGGCCAGATAGTCGAGTTCTAGAGAAGAAGGTAGCCAGGGTCTGGGCAGTGCTTTCTCCTTGCAGATGAAGCCTGAGGCCAGCAGAACCTGACGGCCGCCTGCCCAGGCTGCCCGGGCTGCCAGAGAAGGAGGGGCGTGGGTGGCCGAAGCTGGTTTAAGCCCTTGCAGGGGAAGCACTGGGGGGCCAGGGGCTGGTGGCTGGTGGAGACCAAGTCGCTCCCCAGTCTCTGGGAGCCAGGGGTCCTGAACAGACCCTCTGCTGCTGACTTGCAATTCGTGGCCCTGCGTTCTGGCCAGGCCGGCTAGCAAACAGCTGCGTGGGCTTGGGAAGTTGGCTTCTCGGAGAGGCGACACTGCTACACACGGTCAACCCCGTGGGCTCCAGAGCTCCCTTCTCATCATGGATTCTAAGGCCATTCCGAATAGAGGCACTAGGCCCCCGGCCTGTTCCTTCTCTTCTGTGTATGTGTGTGTGTGTGCGCGCGCGCGCGCACGGCCATTAGGTTGTGAGACATAAGGGACACCAGGTTGGGCAGATGTCCTTGGGACTGTCAGGGGGAAAACACAAGTTGCTCTTTTAAAAAAAGATTTTTGATTTTTATTATTTATCTTGCGGATTGAACCCAGGGCCTGGCACATTCTAGGCAAGCACTCTAATTTTTTGAGATGTGGTCGGTCTCGCTAAGTTGCCCAGGCTGGCCTTGAACTTGCAGCCCTCCAACCTCAGCCTCCCGAACAGGTCACAGGTCACTGCGCCTGGCCGGCTTATTTATTTTGAGCTGGAATCTTGCTGAGTTGCCCAAGCTGCTCGTGAACTCCTGGGCTCTGTCCCAAGTCTTAGCTTCCTCGACTATAAAACGGAGGTGATCATAACACCTACCAGAAGGGACCACGGTGGCACCGAAGCAGCCAGTGCTCCCAAGGCCCCCCACACAGAGACCCTGGGTGGAGCCTGAGCAGCCACCGTTCCTTCAAAATGCTCACTTTCAATGTCATCACAAAGGCTCAGCGTAGAACAGCTGACAGGGTTGTAGGGCCAGGCCCACTGACATTCTGCTACGGTTGCTTTATTATCTGTCCATCCATCTGTCCGTCAACCCGTCCCATTTCTTATGAGAAGCTCCCAGGCAGGTGGGACTGGAGGTTGCTTCTTCTGGGGTCATGGCTGGGTCCCCGGGTGGGGTCCACCCCCATAGGTGGCCCAGGCGCTGTCTTGTTCTCCACAGCTGCAGCCCGAGGGCCTGCTGGTGTGGGTGCTGGCCGGCGCCCTGGGCCTCAGCCTGGCCTTCTCCCTGCTGGCGGTGCCCCTGCAGTGCTTCCGGCTCCGCAGGACCTACGGCGTCTGCCTGCTGCTCTTCTACCTGGGCTTCCTGGCCGTGGCCTTGCTCACCGAGTTCGGAGTGATTCACTTGAACAGGACATGACCAAGGCCACCTGTGGTGTGTTGGTGGCACCGAGGGGGCTCCTGCAGCCTTCTGCTGGGGACTGGAGTGGGCAGCTCCGCAGGTGGCTCTTGCTGCCGGGGCACATCAGCGGAGCCCTCCGGCCTGGACCCCAGCCCCGTTGCTGGCCTCTGGGGAGTGGCCTGGCTGTGGCCTGACTCCAGCGGAAGCCAGACCTCCTGAGTGACCCAGAGTCCTCAGAGGGAAGGGCTGGGCCTGGGGCAAAGGAATCGGCCTGGCTGCGGCCCTGGCGACCTGCCCTCCCTCTCGCTGGCCTTCGGGCCTCCTGCTCCCTCAGGTGACTCGGGTGAGGGCCCAGGTAAGCCCCCGGGTGTCGGACCCACAGGGACAGCCCGCGGAGCTCTCCAGTTGCCAGGTTCCCAAAGCCACAAGAACCAGGCGGATCAGCATATCTGCTCAACCAGGACTGCGCAGCCCTTGGGCCGTGGCCCTGGACTGTAGAACTCGGGGCTCCCCCGCTGCATACCAGGAGTTTGCCCACAGGCCTGCACCCACCTCAGGGAGCGCCAGGGCCTCTGGCCTTCTCAGGAAGCAACTGCTGCCCACTGCCCTATGCCCTTGGTCAAGAGGGACTCGCCACCTTTTTCCCAAATAAAAAAAAAAAAAGAAAAGAAAACAGGATTAAATATTTGAAGTATTTTCTGAGCAGCCACAGACTCGGCCATCCTTCTGCAGCTGGGACCAGGTGGTGACTGGCTGGTGGCAGGCCCCTTGGCAAGGCTGGGGCTTGGGGCCTGGGACGGCCACCGTGGGACCTCTGCCCTCTCCCCGACACAAACCACAAGCCACGAGGCAGCAGCCATATGTACAAAGCAGAGGCTTTTATTAATGCGCCAGGAATCCAGGGACACGGCGGGTCCCCAGGTAACAAGTCACCTGTACAAGACCCCGGCGCCGCCCTGCCGTCATACAAAATGATTGTCTGCGAGGTGGAGTAAGGCTGGGTGGGGAGAAGCAGGGGGCAGGAGGCGTCCTCCCCAAAGTGCCACCGCCTCACCAGGAAGGGTGCACAGGGCCACGCTACCCCTGCCAGGCTGTGACCCGGAGGGTAGCAAAGGCCACCTGGTCCCCTTCAGCTGTAACAGGTGAGGGAGGCATCTGAGCTAGAGGAGGTCCCAAGACACTCAGGGATCACATCTGGGGTGACAGCTGTCCCCTGCTTGGTGGGAGGGCTTGAGGGTCAGCTAGACAGGACCACAGGGAACCCTGTGGAGACAGCTGTCCCTAGTCCCCCCCTCCTGTTGGCACACCTTGCCCACCTGGTTCTGACTGAAGCCAGGGGCTCTGCCAGGCCAGGGCTGGGAATGGACTGGGCACCCCTGGAACAGGGCCGGCCTCCTGTTGGGGGCTCAGCCCCCGGGTAGAGGAAGGGACTAGAAGGGCCCTGGGTGCTCAGGTCAGGAACCCCTGTCCTCCTCTAGCAACTGCCCCCTCCCTGCTTCCAAAATGCCCGTTTGAATACACAAGGTAAAAGGCACCCGGTTGTGCAAATGAAGTCCCTTCTCTGGAGAGAAGGGTGTGGCCTGGGGCTCCACGTTGAGCTCCCGCATGGCCAGTGGCCCTCCAAAGACCAAGAGGCAACGTCAGCCTCCTGACAATCCTGGGATCGCGGCTTAAGGACCCAGTTTCCCCAAGGGCTTTAAGAGCGGACCCCCCCCCCCAGGCCTGCAGAGGCTGCTGCAGGCCGTGGGGCCATGGGGATCAGGCTCCCTGGGATCAGGCTCCAGGGCCCTCTGTCCACCCCTTGCCCCCGGCCACAGGAAGCGTGGAGGTGGCTGGAGCCAGGTTGACCCAGGACGCCAGGCTGGTGCCTGCTCCTGGCCGTCTATCCTCCCCTGCGTCTGCTGGCACCTGCCTGGACAGCTGGGCCAAAGCCCCCTCTGACCCCACTCTGCCACCACCACCAACACTGCCTTGCTCGGACATCCCGGGACGCCCATGGCTGAGTGTTTGCCTGGACTCCTGGCCAACCAAGGTCAGGCCAAGCCCACTCTGGCCTCAGCGCCCAAGGTGCGGTGGGGGCTGTGCTGGGGCTGCCACTGCTTGTCCCCATGATTGTCCCTGAGTGGCCTGCTCCAATCCAGCAGTGAGGATACACACACGTGTGAAGGGCCACCGCTGTCCCCGGCACAAGCTGCCACCCCAGCGGATCACAAGGAGAGGGAATGAGCCGAGAGGTCCCTCAGGAACCGGCCAGACCCTGGGCCTCTCACCTGCCCCTCTTCTTGGTGGCCTGGATTCTGCACAAAGTCACTGTAGAAGCACATCCAGCGACAAGGTCTGGACCGCAGGGTGGGAGGGGCTCGGGGCAGCTCAGGGGGCAGGATCCCAGGCCAGCTAGTGCATCTGCAGCGCCCATCTGGCTCCTGAGAGCTGCCCGTAGGCGTGACCTTGGTCCTCCTCACTCTCCCACAGGTCACAGGCGTGGCCCCCAGAAGCATCTATGACACCATCTTTGACACTGCCAGGGGCACTTGGGTTCCTTCCTTCCTTAGTGGTTTTGTCCCTAGAGCCAGACACAGGTGCTGTGACAGGGCCACGGGGTCAGTGGGGACACTGGTGGGTGGAAGCCTGCCTGTGAGCCCAGCAGGGACATGGGGCGGGGGGACTGGCCTTGTGAGAGTGGCCTGGTTATCAGGCCAGGCTCAGGGGGTTCCGTAAAGGGGCTTCTGGAGCCCTTCACAGCGGCCGAACGCACTGGCCAAGGCCTCAACCGGCCACCCTGGGGTTCAGGAAGACGGGCCGGGCGACCCCAAGGTCAGCTGGTCCTCGGCTCTCCTCTCTGCAGGTGTGTGCATCCATGTGAGGCGTCCATGTATGTGATGCGCGTCCCCACGTCATCTTGGTGCATGGTGGGAAGGTAATACTACGTGTTATTGCATAGAAGAGACGGTGTCCCCGCTGGGGCTAGGTGACGGTCTGGGAGCGCGGGCGGCCACCGGGGGGCTGCGGGGCGGTGGGGATGGTGACGCTGCCCAGATGCTTCTCCTGCTCCCGAGCGTGCTCCTCGTACCACTCCTAGGGAGAGACGGCGTGCTGAGGGCCACCCTCCCCGCCCGCCCTGCACTGCCCCCGCCCCAGCTGGGGGATGGGGCAGATGTGCCGGCCCACCCCCTGGGCTGGACCCCTGCCCCACCCATGGGAGTCCTGGGGTACCACCCTCCCCCAGAGGTGGCAATGAGGCCTCTCTGTGCACAGAGGTGGGCACCCTGCTGGTGATGGAGGCCCACCAGTAACAGTGCCCACCCACGACGGGCATTCATGAAGGGATCCCCGGGGCCACCCCTGAGCTTGGCACAGTGGGTCCCCACCAGAGGAAGCCCAGGCTCCGAAGCTGTGTGGAGCTGGGGTCTAACCGCCAGATGCTGCTGCCCCCCGAGAAGGCAGTGAACAGTTCGGAGGGGTCCACTTGCCCCCCCCCCCAGGCCTGTGTGGAGCAGTAGACTTCCAGGAACTGGGTATGTGGATGATGGCGTTAAAGACTGTCACCCCACATTTTTAAAAGAACCCGAACCACAGACTGGTGGGTGGGAGCCTGCCTGTGCGCCCAGCAGGGACATAGGGGGGTGCTGGCCTTGTGAGGGTGGCCTGGTTATCAGGCCAGGCTCGGGGGGTTCCGTAAAGGGGCTTCTGGAGCCCTCCACAGCGGCAGGGACATAGGGGGGTGCTGGCCTTGTGAGGGCGGCTTGGCTCGGGGGGGTTCCGTAAAGGGGCTTCTGGAGCCCTCCACAGCGGCCGAACGCACTGGCCAAGGCCCTCAACTGGCCACCCTGGGGTACAGGAAGTACCCAGGTACCCAGGTCACCCCAGGTTCATGCCTCTGCCGTGGCCTCAGCAGAAGGGGACAGAACTACAGACAGACAGAAGGGCAGCCTTCTCCCAGAGGGGATCCCATGTGCTCCTGAGCACTCGTTCCCACTGCTCTGTCCCCTGTCACAGGTGGGAATGGAACCCAGAGCTGGGCCCGACACTGTTTCCATGTCTCTGACCCTAAGCTCACTGGGCACTGCCCCTCCGCCCAGGAAGGCCAACTAGACTAAAGGGCATCGGTGTCAGGGCCCACGTGGCGCTTGGGTACTTAGCACAGTCACCAACATGGAAAGGTGGGAGACAGTGGGAAGGAAAGAACTGTAACTTATCTTTTCTCTTAAAAACAAAACAAAACAAAAACAATCGGCCAAACCCCGCAGCAGGCCATGCGCAGGGGGTCACTCCCACTAGGTGACGCTCGGCTGCAGGTGAAGGAAGGCGGCCTCTACTCTGGGCAGCACATCCTCGTCCAAGTGGCCATGTCCCCAGCCCTCCCTGTCCCTCCTGCTGTGCATAGTTGAGGCTGCAGCTCCCGCTCAGAGTGACAGGTGCTGGAGACTCATCAGGGCAGTGGCACCCAGAACAGGCCAGACGGGTGTGGAGGCTGGGCCAGCAGTCCGACCCGACACCTCAGGCACTGGCGGCCCCTCCAGGATGCCGCTGGGCAGGGTGGCCGTGGGCCCTACCTGGATCTCCTCCTGGTACATCTTCAGGCTCAGGTCGCTTTTGGTCCTCGATCTCCGTCCCAGGAACGTCAGGGAGTTTTGCTGGAGAAGGGCGAAGGCTGCTGGATGTGGTTGCAGGGCCCCCTGCCACCCAAGAGTGCCACCGACACTTGCGGGGAGGGGAGCAGCCATGCTAACCCCGCCCCTCACCTGGTACTTCTCCATCTGTGAGAGGGTCTCGAGCAGCCGGGTGATGTCGGAGGCGGCCCCGGGAGCCCCCCGGTAGAGCTCCAGCATGGCCACCAGCTCCTCTTTGGAGATCTCTTTCTCCAGGGTGATGCCACTGTCAACTGCAGAGAGGGGTGGCATGGAGCCTGCAGCTCTGCAGCCACCTCCCTGGGGCCCCCTGCAGGGTCCCATGTCACCCCCCTCCACCTGGCATCTGGGACCCCTCCCTTCTGCTCTGGGTGTCAGCTTCCTGCAGACAGAGGCCTCGGGAGGGCCAGATTGTTCCCAGAGAGAGAGGGGACACGTGGGGACCGGTGCACAGGCAGCTCTGGTGGAGAAGCTGGAAATAAGGGGTCAGTATGAAGAAAGCTGGGCATCTGGGGGCACC